GATGATCCATTTAAAACCAAAACGGGTGGGATGCTGGATTTAAACCAAGTGAAGAATGCCAAGAAGACAGATGATGCCTATGACACAGGAATTGGAACGTCATTTTCTGCTGAAACTAACAGAAGAGATGAAGATGCAGAAATGTAAGGTTCCCAGGTTATAATTACTTACACATAATGGGGCTGTGATGATTCATATGATTAGTACTTATGCTTCAAAGATGGGCATACAGTACTGTAGTACTCTATTTTTTGCCTTGTTTGTTGTCTTCTTTTCCCTGCTTCATGGTTTCTGGATATCGTGTGAGTGCCTCTTTCACATTCATTTTAATTCTTAATGTGTAGCTATAAGCTTCCCACTCCCCGGAAGAGATCTTCTCTATAATATAATTAAACGGTGAATGAAGCTTCACTACTATAATCTACTTCACTATTATAAAATTTTTCTTCACAGGCTATGGTGATGAAACAGTGGAATGGGATGTAAGGGATAGTATATTATGTAAGGAGCCCTTGGGATCAAACTGACAACCTAACTCTTGCAGATCCACAACTATATCAAATTTATCACAGAGTATACATAAGATTTGTATGTCAGTAGCTCAAGTTGTTCCTTATCACAGACATAAACACACATTAGTGAGTACACTTACATCTTCATACAATCCACATCACAGACACACATGCTTTTGAGTGTGTAAGAGAAGAAATGGCAAGTCAAAGTCACTCTCAAAATTGGGGAGAGGGGGAAATGAAGGAAGCAGCTGGGAATGATAAAGGATGGCCAAAAGACCCAACTGAGAGAGGAGTTTGAGGGAAGGTTCAATTCCCTTTAGAGAGAAACCTTAGCAATTTGCAATGAAGCAAGAGATAAAAATCACAGAACAGACTAAAATGCTGTATTGATATTGCTCCCAGTGTCCATTTTTTAACAGTTTCTTCTGAATATTTTTCTGAAGGTAATGTCACCAAAAGTATGTAATTTAATGGAAAACTTGTGGAATTACACAAGAGCAGAGTTAATGCTCTGGGCACATTGCATGCATCGGTGATTTTGCCAACTTTGAGTCCTATTTAAGTCAGTTTCATTACTCCATTTGACCAGATTCTTAGCTGTTTCACTGGTACTCGAGGGAATTGATAAAGTAGATGTGGATAGGCTGTTTGAGAGGCGAGAAATAGGAACTCTTTGACACTACTAGAAGTTAAAGTCACAGATGAGCCACAGGACTGTTAAGAAATATTTCTTCAGTCTCAAGAGTAGTTGGGAAATGGAATGATCTTCATGAGAAAGTGGTGGAGGCAGGCTCCATACATAGTTTTAAGAGCAGGCACAATAGGTCCCACAAGGCCCTAGGGCCCAGGGACAGAATAGGATAGGGCCTTGTGGGCCTTATCCTATTCCGTCACATAAAGGAGTGAATCTGAAGAGTGGCAAGAGGCAGGGTCAGAATCTGAGAATTGACCACTGCAGCCACATATGGTGAGCACACAATAGCTCTCAGGTAACAGCATTTAGGAAAATATCTGCCTTGCATTTTAGAATCTGGTGAAGGTGGTCCATTATTGAAGTAAAGGAAATAATTTTGGGAATATTGTGGACTAAAATCCCTTTAAGGGAGGTGCCTAGATGCCAATGAAGGGCTCTTGAACCAAGGAACTAGTTATCCTTTCTTTCCTTAGACTGAACTTGATTACCTTCGAGTTCCCAGGCACTATGACCACTATGGGTTAGCAATTCCACATTACTGTTAAAAACATATGCCAATTATTGTCACTACACAACAAACAGGTTAAAAAATTAAAATCAGTACAATACTTCAGTTTGTAGGTATTAATGTTTGAATACTAAATTATTTTAATTTACTATGTAAGTTATAAAGGACAATGTATTTTTTGTGTATGTATCATTAAATCTGGTGAAAAACTTTATTTCTGCATATGTAATTTTTTTTTTTTTTTTTTTTTTAGGCAAAAGTACATTGAAGAAAATCTAGCTAAGCGGAAGGGCATTCAATCTGAGGAGAACCCAGAGGAGCAGCAACGATACCAAACATTAGAGGAAGCAGCACTGCATGCCGTTCCTGATATTTTGCGTGAATCCACTAGCAAAAGAAGTGAAGAAATGTTGAGCAATCAGGTAAATCAGTTAGACAACTGTTATCATTGAGAAAGTCATTGAATGCAAGCATTGTTAATTAAAAAAAAAAAAGCTAGTTTACTAATGTAGGCATTAACCCTTAAACTGTGTCCAATGTTCTAGTATGCAGCTGACGACTATGTGTCCAACGTACTAGTGTGCATAATTTTTCATACCCTCAAACCTGCCACCTACCAATATTTTTGACCATAGTACAACATCTTTGGGTCTTCTACAATTTCTTCATACCTCTGAAAAAACAAGGCCAGGGGGTCCACACATGCCAATAGTTAACACACAGTTTACAGTATATTCCAATGTCTAGTATGCCCAATATCAAAGTAAACAGGGGGAAAACAAAGGTTGTTCCCACCAATTCCTACCACAAACAGGGTGGGAAGTTTCATGAAGATGATTATTCATTTAGATTATTACTATTTAAGATCTAATGAATTCAGTCAGCAAGCACTATAAGTAGATTTAACTCAGGATAACCCAGCCAAGTCAAACAATGCGACTTATTTCCATGTTTTGATGAGTATTGTACCTTGAAACAATTGTAATTTAACCCTTTGACTGTCGCGGTCGTATATAACGTCATAGGAATACTGTGTTTATGTATCTATATCATAAATTCTACGGCTCAAATCAAGCAGGGAAAGCTTGGTTCCCACATGTGAGAGAAAGGGTCTCCTGGTCAGTGTGCACCATATAAAAATCGGAGCCATTGTGCATTGTGGAATACCATTTCATTCGTTCCTTTTCAGCATGTCTAGCCTAAGAAATAGTGACCCCAGCAAATCTGGACTTTCTCTTCCAATGTCCCAAAAACACAGATGGAAGAGTCATTGAAGATCAATTTCTGTTTTCGGGGAGTTTGAGCCCAAAAGCAAGGGGAGGAGAGGAGGAAGAAGAAGAGGGAGGAAGAAAAAGAGGAGGGGAGGAAGAAAGGGGGAAAGGGGGAGGAAGAAAGGGGGGAGGGGGAAGAAGAGGAGGGGGAGGAAAAAGGGGGAGAAGAAGAGGAGGGGGAAGGGAAAGGGAAAAAAAAAGGGGAAGGAAGGAGGAAAAAGGGGGAGGGGAGGGGGGGGGGAAGGAAGGGGGGAGGAGGAAAAAGGGGAGGGAGGAGAAGGAAGGAGGGGGAGGGGGGGAGGGGGAGGAGGGAGGAGGAGAAGGGGGAGGAAGGAAGAAGAAGGGGAAGGAAGAAGGGGAAGAAGAAGAAGAAGAAAAAGAAGAGGGGGGGGAAAAAATAGGAAGAAAGGAAAATAAAAAAATAAAAATAATCCTAATAAATAATATAATAAAAATTAAAAATATGCCCCTTGGGGCATAAAACATTCCCCCCATGACAGTGAAAGATAAGGGGGAATAACATTGATAAACTGCCCTTTTGGGGAAGCAAAACGGGGGTGGGGGGAAAGGGGGGGCAGCTTCCAATCAAGAGCCAGGAGGAGGAGGAGGGGAGGAGAAGGAAAAGGGAAAGGGGGAGGGAAGGAGAAAGGGGGGGGAGGGGGGGAAAAGGGAAAAAGGGGGGAGAGAAGGAGAGGAGGAGGGGGAAAAAGGGAGAAGGAGAAGGGGGGGAGGAGGAGAAGGAGAAGGGGAGGAGGAAAGGAGAAAAGGAGGAAAGGGGAGAAGGAGAATTAGGAGGAGAAGGAGAAGAAGGGAGGAGGAAGAAAGGGGAGGAGAAGGAGAAAGAAGGAGGAGGAGAGGAGATGAAGGAAGAGGAGAAGGAAGAAGAGGGAGGAGGAGAAGGGAGAGGGAGGAGGAGAAGGAGGAGGAGGAGGAGAAGAAGAAGAAGGGAGGTGGAGGAGGGAAGGGGAGGAGGGAGGACGAGGAGGAGGAGGAGGAGGAAGCGGCGAGACGAACAACATTTGTTCTGTCTGTTATTGTCTGTCTGCCAAGCTCCCGTCATATCTGTTTAGCTGCTGTCTCAGACGAGAGCCCAAGACTGTTCATCATCATGTTTACTCACATCTTCAGCAGAGTATAGCACTTTGTCTGGATTTTTTTGTCGGTTTTACCTAGGTAATTTACACTATGTATATTGTATATATGTGTACCTGTGAGACAGAGATAGACAGAAAGTAAAAGGAGAGACAGATTGAAAAGATAGAATGAGGGAGAAGAAAGATAATTAGGATAGAATGGAGGGGGGAAGCAGCATCCTGAACCCCATTGTTTTGACAGGCGGTAGGGGGAGTGAGTAATGAGACAATTATGTTCATTTTGACAGCTGCGGGACTCCTGACTCAAAACAAATATAACGCCACACACTCGCACCCAAGACAAGCTTGCTGAATGGTGATAATAGCAGTTTTATGAAAGTATCTAGTGACTATATATGTGTATATATATTATAGAAACCAGAAGCAAGAAGGGAAGGCAGGAATGAAGGAAGGACTAGATGAAAGGAAGGAAAAAAGTAAGGAAGGACAGATGAAGGAATGTAGGAAGAGAGGTTGAATGCCCTCCAGGTAGCCTCCAGGTAGGAAAGGAATGAAGGAAATTAGGAAGGAAGGAATGATGACACACGACCATTTACCTATCAAGCATGCGTGAGCGTGTTTGATAGGAGTGAATGGAGACAAATGGTTTTTAATACTTGACGTGCTGTTGGAGTGTGAGCAAAGTAACATTTATGAAGGGATTCAGGGAAACCGGCAGGCCGGACTTGAGTCCTGGAGATGGGAAGTACAGTGCCTGCACTCTGAAGGAGGGGTGTTAATGTTGCAGTTTAAAAACTGTAGTGTAAAGCACCCTTCTGGCAAGACAGTGATGGAGTGAATGATGGTGAAAGTTTTTCTTTTTCGGGCCACCCTGCCTTGGTGGGAATCGGCCGGTGTGATAATAAAAATAAAAAAAACTACATAACACAACTGCCTGCTAATACTTTGAAGAAAACTGCTCAGACGAGGTGTTTTGTCTTTGCACATAAAAAAAAACTTCCACAAAAATGCACACACACTGATTTTATGTGTGAGGAGTGTAAAACACCACTGTGTATGACACCATGTTTTATGTGTGAGGAGTGTAAAACACCACTGTGTATGACACCATGTTTTATGTGTGAGAGTGTAAAACACCATTGTGTATGACACCATGTTTTATGTGTGAGGAGTGTAAAACACCACTGTGTATGACACCATGTTTTATGTGTGAGGAGTGTAAAACACCACTGTGTATGACACCATGTTTTATGTGTGAGGAGTGTAAAACACCACTGTGTATGACACCATGTTTTATGTGTGAGGAGTGTAAAACACCACTGTGTATGAGAACATGTTTCAAAGAGTTCCACAAGCTGCAGAACTTCTAGGAGTATGTTCAGTGACTGTATATTGGTATATATATTATAGAACAATAGTAATAAAAAAATTTTTGCATTGTTTGTTTTTGTAAACAAGTTTTGTAAACAATATATTGATAATTATGTTTGTACTCACCTATTTGTGGTTGCAGGGGTCGAGTCTTAGCTCCTGGCCCCGCCTCTTCACCGGTTGCTACTGGGCCCTCTCTCTCCCCGCTCCATGAGCTTTATCAAACCTCGTCTTAAAACTGTGTATGGTTCCTGCCTCCACTACGTCATTTTCTAGGCTATTCCACTGCCTTACAACTCTATGACTGAAGAAATACTTCCTAATATCTCTCTGACTCATTTGTGTCTTCAACTTCCAATTGTGGCCTCTTGTTTCTGTGTCCCCTCCCTGGAACATCCTGTCTTTGTCCGCCTTGTCTATTCCATGCAGTATTTTATATGTCATTATCATGTCTCCCCTGACCCTCCTGTCCTCCAGTGTCGTCAGGCCGATTTCCCTTAATCTTTCTTCATAGGACATTCCCCTTAGCTCTGGAACTAACCTTGTCGCAAACCTTTGTACTTTCTCTAGTTTCTTGACGTGCTTTATCAAGTGCGGGTTCCAAACAGGTGCTGCATACTCCAGTATGGGCCTGACATACACGGTGTACAGTGTCTTGAACGATTCCTTACTAAGGTATCGGAATGCTGTTCTCAGGTTTGCCAGGCGCCCATATGCTGCAGCAGTTATCTGGTTGATGTGTGCTTCCGGAGACATGCTCGGTGTTATACTCACCCCAAGATCTTTCTCCTTGAGTGAGGTTTGCAGTCTTCGGCCACCTAGCCTATACTCGGTCTGTGGTCTTCTGTGCCCTTCCCCTATCTTCATGACTTTGCATTTGGCAGGATTAAATTCGAGAAGCCATTTGCTGGACCAGGTGTCCAGTCTGTCCAGGTCTCTTTGAAGTCCTGCCTGGTCCTCATCAGATTTAATTCTCCTCATTAACTTTGCATCATCTGCAAACAGGGACACTTCTGAGTCTAACCCTTCCATCATGTCGTTCACATATACCAAAAATAGCACTGGTCCTAGGACCGACCCCTGTGGGACCCCGCTCGTCACAGGTGCCCACTGTGATACATCATTACGTACCATGACTCGTTGTTGTCTCCCTGTCAGGTATTCTCTGATCCATTGCAGTGCCCTTCCTGTTATATGCGCCTGATGCTCTAGCTTCTGCACTAATCTCTTTTGAGGAACTGTGTCAAAGGCCTTCTTGCAGTCCAAGAAGATGCAATCAACCCACCCCTCTCTCTCGTGTCTTACTTCTGTTATTTTATCATAAAACTCCAGAAGGTTTGTGACACAGGATTTGCCTTCCATGAATCCGTGCTGGTTGGCATTTATACTCTTGTTCCGTTCCAGGTGCTCCACCACTCTCCTCCTGATAATCTTCTCCATAATTTTGCATACTATACACGTCAATGACACAGGTCTATAGTTTAGTGCCTCTTTTCTGTCTCCTTTTTTAAAAATGGGAACTACATTTGCCGTCTTCCATACCTCAGGTAGTTGCCCAGTTTCCAGGGACGTGTTGAAGATTGTGGTAAGTGGCACGCACAACATATCTGCTCCCTCTCTAAGGACCCACGGGGAGATGTTGTCCGGTCCCATTGCCTTTGAGGTATCGATGTCCCTTAGCAGTTT